ATTTATCCAAACATAGTCTAATTGGACATGTCAAGCAGTAAAATATAGGAGTTATTAAACTTTTGGTTCAAAGCAATATTTATTAAAATGATTATTAAAGAATAGTATAGTGTACCAATTAAGAAAGCACTGTTAAGAACTTTGTATGTTTCTCTTTTATTTAGCGGGGGACAAATTATTAGCAATTGTAAGTTTATCCCTTCATAAAACATAATATTAACCCTTCTAAAATCTCAAAACAATATGCTATAGGAATATTGGTATTGGAATAATGGTTCTTTAGAAGTAATTTAGTTAAAATTATAATTCTTCGAGATCAATACAATATTTACATTGAAATATCTAAATTGTGATTCTAAAAAAACAACCACATAATATTCTTCAAGAATAATAATAAATATAAAATCATGCTTCTTTCAAAGCAACACAATATTCTTTTAGAGTAATTAATTTGTATCAATTGATTCAAATAATTTTATAATATTCTTCTGAAATATTTAAATTTCTGAATCATATTCGTTCCAGAATAACAATAGTATCGTACTTTTCAGAAGTAATAACATATTATTATTTTCAGTAATAAATTGTGTAAGGATTTACTCCTAAGGAGTAAATACATAATTTATATTGGATTTATATCATTATGCTCTTCGAGTACAATTAAAATCTAACTAGACTATTAATGGGAATTATAATATACTATTTTGAGAGCAAGTTACTATTTTGGGAATTTTAATATTACTTTTTTTAAGAGCAATATGTCAATATTTTTTTGGAATATTAAAAATTATAATCGATGCTTTTATGGAGTAAATAATATTCTTCTGGAATATTAATTAAAATATCGTACTACCTCAAGAGTAGCAATATGATGAATTATTAGTTTAAAGTTTATAAAAAAATTTAAAATATTTAATCAGGTTTATAATATTATTTAACATACAAAAATTATATGATATAATAATTAATTATCAAACGGATTGGATATGAATTTATATATAAAAATTAACTACCAAACATGATTTAAGAAAATGAATCTTCATACATAGAAGTGAATAAAATTGACTAAATCTTTTACCAATACAAAAGAAACAAACATTCACATGAATTCCAAATGCACAAAAATTAAAGGTGGAACTAATATGTGATAGAATCAAAAGGCAAATTTAATAAGTGAATAATATGTGGCAGAATTAATTGTGTATGAATCAAAATGCACAAATTAATGGTAAAACATGAAATTATTTAATAAACTATTAATTAGTATGTGTACAGATTACGCATACAAATGTGAATTAGAATTAATATGCATACAAACGAAAAAGTAGAGAATAAGAAAAAGAAGAAGCAATATCCTTATAATGCATAAGTAAATCAAAAGAATTCACATATCATCAAATTGATTTTGGTACACGTGACAAATGATTATACTTATAAAAATTATTACTTTTTAACTGATTTATTTTGATTTTGAGATAATCGTGTTGATAACGTATTATAAAGAGAAAAAGAGATAAACCAATAGAATTGTGTGTTTTATTTAGAATCAAAACCCATATTTATAAGGAAGAAGTGTTATAAGGGAAATAACGATCATAAATAAAATGGCTGCAGGGGTATAAAAATCATTCATAAATACTATTATATTTACAATAAATTTAATTTTTTATTATTCATTTCCAATATTTTTAAACTAAACTATAAGCCTATCTTAACTTTATTGGGAATAAAATCAACATTAAGAGGTTTAGAGTTTGAATTTTCTTTTCAATTTTTATTTTTGTCCATTTTTTGATATAAAAACTTAATTTTTTGCACTTTCAATAAATAATATGAAAGTCAAAGACTAGCTAACTAAGAGGGAGTGAATTGGTTATTGCAACTTTTTCGAAAGTTAATTCTAAATATACAACAATTACTTATTTAAATGTAGCAATTTATCAAATATTTATAAACGTGAAAGAGAGTAAAGACAAGATGAAACCACAAGTAATAAATAAAAGCAAAGATAAGTAAAAGGGAAGAGAAGTCAAATGATATGATATGGAGGTTCGATCTAATGCAATGATCTACGTCCTTTGTTACCAAGCTCTCTATCACGAGTAATGCATTTTTCTCTATAATGATTGACTTATGGTACAATCAAACCTTCTTACAATGCTTTCGGTAACTTACGAACAAGGAGCACCGATTCTTTTACACCGTTGAGCTTTCCGAGACCTCAACTGACCCACAATAAAAAATTTAAAAGAAAATTGAAGTTACAATCAACGACTTCTTTCTTAATTAATGATATGAACTTAATTTAGAATCAAGAGAGAAATAGGTACAACACTTCAATAGATCACAAAGAATATAGCTCAAGTGTTATATGAAAAACTTTAATAAGATATGTGATTTTGCAAAGTTTGATTACAAAAAGTTTTTCAAGAAGTAAATCATTTGATTTTATGAAAGTTGAAAACAAGGTAGAAAAGATCAATAAATAACTCTCTTAAATACACAAGAAATTGTTGTTATAAATGAGGAAGTGAAGAGATATTTATAACACTCAAACGGGCAAAACTTCTTTTTGAAAATAATTTATATGCAAGTATTATTTGTCATGAAAAGTTTTGTGCATAAAAATTGTTTGAACTATAATCGATGCGAAATATTAAAGTGTTTTAACTTTATATTTGATTACTAGAACGCATCTATATCTAATGTCTTCAATTTCTTCTTCCATATGATTTTGACGTGAAAGCTCGATTTCAATCTCTTCGTCCGTCGATCTCCAAACTTTCCTTATGCATTGATCGTTTGGCGCCAAGGTTGTTCGTCTATGTGTATGAATCTTGATCTCGATTCTCATGTTTTCATTCGTCATTAATTCCACAAAATCATTAACAACACTTAAATTCAATTAGTTAGAATTGAACACAATTTGTTTGTAATAATCAAAACCAAAAGTCAACCATTAGGTTAACATAATAATATCAACTATGCTACATGTACATCACTTTCTACACTATGCCATGTGACAAAACGCTATTGGACATTTTTCCTCAATCAAATCATGTTAACTTAAATGATGTAAAAAAAGTAATGTCCACTTTTAATGTACAAATAGCTTAACGCTAATAATATTGAGAAATGCATCGAGATAAAATTCTAGCTCAATTTGAAGGAAATTATGTGGGAGCCTCACATTTGTGATCATTACGAAGCAATGCAACGAAATTCCTATTTGACAATAAAAATATCCTAAAAATATTTTTAACTACACACTTATACAATAAAAATATTTTGTACATAAATTCAAAATTTTTCCTACATTTTAATTACACATTATCCTAAAAATCATTATTCAAAATATTATTTTGACTAAATAATGATCATCAAACATGTGCTAAAAGTTGATTCCAACTATTGAAATTGTATGTTAATAATATATAAGCCTTGTTTGAAAAATTACGCCATTGTTTGGGCTCCATTATTTTAAATTATAATAAAAGGAATAGTAATTTTGTGAAAAATGTGGGTTAAAAAGGAAGCAAAAGTTTTTAGATTTACGTATAATATTAACTTATTGGAGAACGTGTGACTGATAAAAAAAAATTAGAGAAAAATGAATTCTAATTTAATGGGGCCAAACGAATATCATTTCGCCCCTGTTTGGGCTCTATTTTAGTTTCAATGCATTTTTTTGTTTTTCTCTTTCAACCATACATTTTATAATAAAATAATGTTATAGGTGAATTCAAAATTTTTCCTTCCTTTTCTGCTACACATTTTTAAAAAAAAATTATTATTCTTAAATGTATATTCCCTAAAAACTTCTAAAGCTAATAGCCTGTTTGGTTTGGATTAAAATCTGATTTTAATTTAAATCAAAGTCAAACAAACAATATTAACCACATCTTTTATGGGTCTCACAATTTTTCAACCACACATTTTAAAAACTTCTATCACAATTTACTAAAAAATGTAATTTTAATCTCAAACAAACACTCTTTAATTAGTGTTTTGATCTAATTATCCTTGAACAAACATATGCGGTCATTTGACCAAGCAAATGAACGAAATGAGATGACGAGAGTGATTTACGCATACGTATAATGAAAATAAACTAGGGCCCTGTTCGGTAGAGATTTTGAGAATTGATTTTTTTGATAGTTAGAAGAAAAGTGGGGACCACCAGTGAGAGAAGAAGTCAAAAATTACGATTGAAATAGAGAAATAACGGTCAAAAAATTAATTTTTTGGGAGAAAAATATCTCCTAAACACCCTCTAAATAAATATTATGTGTCAATTACCCATAAAATTAACCATGCTAAAATGACATACTTTAGGCTACTTTTTTTGGGGAAAATATATTTTGCCCCTGTTAGGCCCCATTTTTTTGAAACGAAAATAAATAGAATAGTGTTTTTTTTTAAAAAAATAAGTGCTTAAAAAAGAAGGAATTTTTTTGATCTACGTGTATTATTATTTTTTTGAAAGTTGAAAATAAGAGAGAGAAAAATGAAATATAATTTAATAAGATTCAAACATAGCTTTAGTAATAATTTTTTAGAAAAATGTATTTTTAAAAAGTAGAAAAACTCTTTGAATTTATGTGCAAAATTACTTTATTGAAAAATGTGTAATTAAAAATATTTTTTTCGAGAATGAGGTTCAAACAATAAGCCCTTGCGTGACAACCATTCTTTCCAAACTCATTTTTCTCGAACAATGCTACACTTATTGATTTTTTCATGTAACACTTGGTGACATTTCATTGGAAGTTGCAAAAAAGGTCTAATCATGTGTTACCAACGAATCACCCGTAAAAGTTTAGTAAGGAAAAAGTCTATACATATGATTTTTTTCATACTCATTTTCAGCCACACACTATCCCAATAAATTTTTTTCACGTAAACCTAAAATTTTTCTCTACTTTTTAACCGAATATTCTTCAAAAGTTTATGTTTAAAAACTCATTCTTTCTATAAAATTGAGGCTGGCATGGATTAAAATTAGAATTCTAGTAGATTTTGATAAAATTGTTAGAATGTATGGTTGAAAAATTGTAGACTTTTATAAATTATGTGGTTAAAATTAGTTATTGATTGATTTAAATTATTCAAACAAGGACTAGATCCTTGTTTGAGCCCCGTTGTTCCAAAAATTCATTTTTTTAAAACTCATATATTTTTCAATAAAATAATATTACATGTAAATTTAAAACTTTTCATTTATTTTTAACCATACATTCTCTATCAATGACTATTTAAAAATAGGGTAATTAGCATAAAACGTCCTTACCTTTCGATTTTTTGTGGAAAACGTCCTTACCTTTCGTTTTTTGGTGGATAACACCCTCACATTTACCTTTTTTTGCGCAAAACGTCCTTCTGTCAACTCCCCGTTAAAATATTCCGTTAAATCAAATGGTAAGTAGCATAAAAGGTCCCTACCTCTCAATATTATTGTGCAAAACGTCCCTACTTTTTATTTTTTTGGCATAATTAGCACAAAAGGTCCATACCTTTCAATGTTATTATGCAAAACGTCTATACCTTTCATTTTTTAGCGTTTTTTCACCTCTACCTTTTATTTTTCATTGCGCAAAAGGTCATTTTCATCCATTTTTTCACTACGATTTTACCTTCCTATTAAAATAAAACAAAAAGAAAAGAAAAGAAAAATAAATAATTAATTGCAATCATAGTCCTAAATCTTTCAAAACATTACAGATAAATCTTAAATTCTCCACTACCGCCACTTTTACAATCCCACCAAACTATCACCTATAGATCCAAATAACACCACCTTTCGGCCACAACACCTATCTGACTCCACCACCACCAGCCTCGCCTCACTCTCCCCAATATTCTCCTCCATAGTATTGGTCACCAATTTGTCCGAAACAACCACATTTATGGTGGTGGAGTCCGGTGGGCATGGTGGCCGAAAGGTGGTGCTATGTGGATTTATAGTTGGTAGTTTGATAGGTTGTGAAAGTGGTGGTGGTTGAGAATTTATGATTTCTTTGTAATTTTTTAAAAATTTAAGGACTATGGTTGCAATTGGTATTTCATCTTTTCTTTTTGTTTTATTTGAATAGGAGGGTAAAATCATCATTTTATTGAAAAAATGGATGAAAAGTACCTATTGCGTAATGAAAGGTGAAAGGTAGGGGTGAAAATGCTGAAAAATGAAAGGTAGGGACGTTTTGCACAATAACATTGAAAGGTAGAGACCTTTTGTACTAATTATGTCAAAAAATAAAAAGTAAGGACGTTTTACACAATAATATTGAAAGGTAGGGATATTTTTTACTAATTACCCTTTGATTTAACAGAGCATTTTAACGGGGAGTTGATAGAAGGAATTTTACGCAAAAAAATGTAAATATGAGGATTTAATCCGCCAAAAATTTAAAAAGGTAGGGACGATTTGTGTTCATTACCCTTAAAAATACATTCTTTCACTAGGTTGAAACAAGGGCTAAATTGCCAAATGGGATGCCAGACAATAATCCTTTGATTCCTTTGCATTGGTTTCAACAACAGAATTCAAATATTTCAAGATCCCGCCCAAAACTTTCCATCTAAATATATTTCAGTCCATTTACCAAGTTACCCTCAATTTATATTTCTTTTGCTTTTAAGTCTACACAGTCCGTACTGTGATTCAATCTTTTATTTACTTTCTGTTAGATTTCAACAATGGCGGAGGGGGCACACCATCAATCGGCGAATCCGGCATTATTCCCGCCTCCTCCACAGCTGGACCCGAGTACTCCAGCCCAGTTAGAGAATGGCGACGGAGCCAGTGGCGAAATGGAGGTTTCTCCCAAACTGGAGATATTTACGGAGTCCACTTTAGTGAAGCAGAAAATCGAAATGGTGAGAAGCTTGCATCAGAATTATCGGAGACGGTCAACGAGATTAATTGAGAACGGCGGAGGAGAAAGCAGTGGCAAATCGAGGAATTCAGGGGAACTGGAGAAATCACCACCACTGAAGAAGCAAAAGACTGGGAAAAAAGTTTCATTCTTTATTGGTGACCCGGTTCCTGCGGATGAGGCTAGGCTCCAATGGCCTTGGCGTTATGATGAAAATAAGGTTACAATGCATGTGCTTTGTTTGCTTTGTTAATGTGTCTTATTGCAATTTTCCGGAGGCAAGTAAAAAAGTTGGGATTCTCATGATTTAACGTGCTACTCAAATGCGGATTGATATAGGAGGTCTAGCATAGTTGGCAGGACCAAAGATTTAATTTTTCACTCACCAAACACCTGGCAAGAAATTTATAAGAAAAATAAACAAGCCAAAAACAAACTCTGGCTTAAATTTAATGAGGCGCAGAAAATCCTACCTAAGTTGATGGAGTTACATCAGCTCTCTGCTACTAGGGGAATTTAGTACGAGAAGATATATTCTAGAATTTAATCAGGAGCGGAAGATAACAAGCTTGTTGCACTGATGCAGGGGTTAAGGAAGAACTGGAACAAGCACTAAAGCTTGACATATCTATTCTCTTAGCAAATTGAAACACTACACATGGACAACATAATTGCATACTTTTCTCCTTTCATGAGGACCATGGCGAGTTTCAGCCTTTCAGGGCCGCAACTTTAGTTGAAAATTTTCAGCCTCTGAAATTCATTTGGCTAATTGGCTTGTGGAAATAAGATTCCTTTCACATCTTTTGGACAAGTCACATCTCCTGAAATATGAACAACTGTTGAACTTTTGATTTTCAACATAAGATTAAAAATTGTTCAATATGGAATACAGTGAAATCTCTTTCATGACACTCATGTATTAGTTTTTGTTACTTTCATTTAGGGTGTGTTTGATTACATTTATTTTTCATGGAAAATATCAAATTTTCATCCAAATTCCTATTTGGAGTGTTTGATTGCTATTTTTTTCCATGGAAAACATTTTTCAACTTTTGAAAATATGCCTAATTTTCCTTGTTTTTAAGGAAAATATTTTTCTTGGGTGGAGGTGGTTTTTATTTTCCACAAAAGATGGAAAATATTTTCTTTTTTAGGTGGTATTTTTCATGTCAATCAAACACACTCTTAATTTGCAAACGTCATTACCACATTACTGACTGTGTTTCAGTGGCACATAAAACGTTTTTAATGAATATAGATTCTGTGAAAAAGTTGTGGAAATAGATATAATTTTTTCCAACTTTCATATAAACAACTTAGAAGCAAAAAAAATTGTTTTGCTTTTATTAAGATCTCTTGACATTGATATTTGGGTTATTTTTCTGTTGCATAATGATTATGTCCTCCATCTTGTCCTGCATTATAGTTTGTTATGTGAATGCCCTCCTTTTTTCTGTTTTTCAATTAAATGTATTTTGTCACAATATATGACTTGGCTTTTGTAACTTTTTGAATGAATGTTGCAGGGTCCAAAAAATAATGGACATGCCTCAAAATGCGAGTTAGTATCATTTAATGCTTCACACAATGATATTGAGTACCTTTTAATGTGCTTGTCTTTTCATCATCGAATGACCTGTGCATCTTGTAGGGATGACGACGAAGATCAGCTTATTTTGAATATAAAGTGCCATTATTCACAAGCGATAGTAGCAAGTGTAGTTTTTAGTCTTGGTGATTGTGCATACATAAAGGTAAGTACTTGCCCGAAATATTTTAGCACGTATATGTGCTGAAGATAACTCACTTGTGATTGCTAGTTATTTCTGTCGCAAATGTTGCACTTATGCTATCATGTTAACTTCATGCAACGTATTTAGGTTATTGTACCATCACTTAATAATTGAGACATTTATTTAAAAGAAAACCCACGTTTTAGTTGTTTGACATGGATGTATAAGTTGTTTTTAATGAGCAAAGTAAAAGATGAGATTATAATCTTCGAAATTTCAACGCCATGGAGTCATTGACAGGAATAGAGGTAAAAAAGCTCTGTGAGATCAAATTTTGTAGGTTGTAGTGGTGAATAACATCTTTCTAACGCATGTAATTAATATCAAGAACATTAGTGACAGTTATTTGCCAATTGGTAATTGGGTGTGGTAATGTAGTTTGGCATCAGCAATGTCAATATTTGTTATGATAAACTACATGAAATTAACACGATACATAATTATCTTGTGCATGAAAGGATAAAATGAGTTCTTTTAGATATGGGCTGGTCTTTTCTTCATGCAAGATTCATCAGTTGCATTCATGTCTGGTAGTGGTAGCCATAGATTATTTGTTTGTCATTAAACAGAATATCCTGACCAGCTAATTGACCCATTTTATCTCTTTAAATGGGAATTTCTACATCATTAAAGGTAGTAGATCAGAAAATGGTGCTCGACTGAAAATGACTCATTTCGGATTAATGTGGTTATTCGCGTTTTGTCGACCCTAAAGAGAGTGTAGTAATGTGTTGGTGGCTTTAGTTATTCCGGCCCCTTTGTCATGAATCATGTTTTTTTCACCCCTTGCACTCTATATTACGAACTTAACGGTTAATCTGTATTATTGAAAGCAAGTAATAAAATGTAATAGAATGAAAGCAAGAAAAACACATAATTTAGTGTGGTAGTTGCTCCAAATGCGAGGTTACATCCACTTGGTGCTGTTGCAGAATTTCACCAAGAAAAATGTGAAATACAATTGTCCAATGCTCTAGGTGCTTGACTGTTTACTAGTCATTCTAAACTTTGTAGTCTTTCACTAGTTTAAAGCAGAAAATGTGTGTGAATTCAAGAGCAAGACAAAAGTTCCTCAAGTTGGGAAATTGAATTGGATTATTAGGTTAGCCTATTGTCATAGTGATGGAAGGGCAAACTTGAGTAATTGTTATTGGAGCCTTTACTTACTTTTTTCAACTCTTATCCCATATTTTTATATACTTGATGTTAGGGTCCAAAACGGGGTCCTAATTATGTTGGCAGGATACTAGAATTTTTTGAGACAAAAGATGGTGAAGACTATTGTAGGGTTCAATGGTTCTTTAGAGCTGAAGACACGGTAATGATAACTTAAAATATTGATATTTTTGTTTTTAAATTTTCTATTTTTACTAATTTGATGTACTTATTAGGTTATGAAGGATGAAGGGAAATCTCATGACAAGAAACGGCTATTTTATTCTACTCTGATGAACGACAATTTATTAGATTGTATAGTTTCAAAAGTTGAAGTTGTTCAAAGAGTACCAAATGTATGTTTCAAGTTTGCATGTTTGTATTTTACATTTGATATTTATTTCAATATTATTTGTTTATATTCATTTTTCAGTTGTACTAATTTAGTCTTGATATTCATTCTTGCATAGGTAAGTTTGAAAGGAAAACCTCTTTCAGACTGTGATTTTTATTTTGATATGAAATACTCGGTGGATTACTCAACATTCAGTACAATTGTAACAGGTAGGTTGAAATTTATGGCAGAAAACTATAGCATGGTATGGAGCATTTTCTTTTGTGATATTTGTAAATTTAGCTCATTATATTTGCATGGGTGATTTTAGTTGTACGATTATTTTGTTCACTTTTAGTTAATTGTTTTTTCAAGAGGCATTTACCGCACCTTACAATAGTGTTGCTTCCCATCATTTTCCAATAGTAAATTTCCTGTATGAGAACTCTCATAGCATTATTTCTATATATCGTTCTCTTTGGCTATCATGTTTCTCCACTATCTTGTTTTAAAGTCAATTATTGTAGTATATTGTCGAACTAGTTGGTAGGTGATAGAGGAGGCGGACGACCAAAGCTGGAATTTACTATATTGAAAATATAGGAAGATGTACAATAAATAGCTTCAGGGAAAGCACGCAATTGAGAAAGATTTTGGTATATGAGAAAGCTGGTGCTTTGAAGTATTTGAGGAAGTGGTGTCTATGGCTTGATAAATAAGTGTTGAAAATCCACTAGTAATATAGTTGTTGTACAGCTACTGTTTTCCTAGATTCAATCTTTCCGTATTTTATTTTTTCCTTAATTAGTTGATTAAGTAAAATCAGGAATTATGTACCTTGATTTTCTCTGCTAATTCTAGAAATAAGGGCAGAAATCACTCAGCCCTCTTGTATATAATGACCTCTTTGTATCAGAATAAATGTGTGGCAGATTCAATTCTTCAATTCAGAAATTTTCATGGTATCAGAGCCATATTCTCTGAACTGATCATCCCTCTCCAGCCTATTCTCTCAATTTTTTCCTCGCTCTATTCATCTTTTTTTCTTCTTTCATCACTGTCATCTCGTGATCATTCTCCATGACGAAATATGGTATGATAATCGAACGAGAAAGCTCCAACTGCAGTCAAGAAATTCCAGTGACTGGAAACAGTGGAGATAGCAGCGATGTTATTCCAATCACAAGTCACAAGCTGAATCGGCACAATTTCTTGCAGTGGTCTCAATCCGTTCTCATATTTGTCCGAGGAAAAGGCAAGGATGATCATCTCACAGGTCTCTCAGCCTCACCAGGAGAGAAAGACCCCAAATATAGACGATGGAAAGCCGAGGACAGCATGGTTATGTCCTGGTTGATCAATTCCATGATCAATGATATAGGCGAAAATTTCCTTCTATATGGTACTGCCAAGGAGATTTGGGATGCTGCAAAAAAAACTTACTCTAGTAATGAAAATACTGCCGAATTGTTTGGTGTGGAGACGATCCTTCATGATTTTCGACAAGGCGAATCTTCTGTTACCCAATACTAATCTAACTCGTTATTGGCAGCAGTTAGATATGTTTGAAGAGCACATTTGGGAAAGTCCAAATGATGGAATTCAGTATAGGCGGATCATTGAGAAAAAACGGGTGTTCAAGTTTCTAATGGGACTTAACAAATATTTGGATGAGGTACGTGGAAGGATTTTGGGCACAAAGCCTCTACCAAGTCTAAGAGGAGCTTTCTCGGAGGTAAGAAGGGAAGAAAGCCGAAAAAAGGTGATGTTGGGAACTCCAAACAATCAGCCCACCACAGAAGGAATAGCCATAGCCATACGCGGCCCTCAACCAAGTAACTCAGATAGCAGGATAAAAAAGGGAAGGCCCTGGTGTGATCATTGTCGAAAACCAGGGCATACCAGAGAAGCATGTTGGAAGTTCCATGGGAAACTAGCCGACTGGAAGCCTTCACGTTTATCTCATGAAAGTCGCGGCAATGCCACATCCTCAACTAATGAAAATGGCACTTCTGAACCAGTTCTCTTTAACAAAGAGCAACTTGAACTTCTACAGAAGATGATTAGCCAATCCATTGGCTCTTCCACTGTTGCTGCGGGATCCCTGGCTCAGAAAGGTAATTTCTCAAAAGCCTTAAATGTTTACAGAGAAAGAAACAATATTTAGATTATTGACTCGGGAGCATCAGATCACATGACGGGAGATAAAACTCTACTTACTGAGTTTAAACCTTGCAAAGAAAATCACTCAGTCAAGATTACAGATGAGTCTATTTCAAAAGTAGAAGGTTATGGTTCGGTTACAATTTCTGAGACTGTCACTTCATTTTGTCTTACTTGTACCAAACCTTAATTGTAATCTACTGTCAATCAGTAAACTCACCCGGGATAAGAATTGTGTTGCTCAATTTTTCCAAAATTTTTGTGCATTTCAGGACTCGGATTCGGGGAAGATGATTGGCAGTGCTGAGGTGTACTTGGGACTTTATCTCCTCAAGGACGACCATCCTTTGGAGGAACAAACTCACAAGGCAGTTTGTTTGAGTCAGTTTCACAAAAGTTGTTATTCCGCAAATAAAGATAGTGAGATTATGTTATTACACTATCGACTAGGACATTCTAATTTCTTTTATCTTGAAAAACTGTTTCCTTCATTATTCAGAAATAAATGAGAAATGAATCTTCAGCGTGAAGTGTGTCTATTTTCAAAACATATTCGTAATTCTTATCCTTGTCGTCCATGTAAAGTAATACATCATTTCTCAATGATTCATAGTGATATCTGGGGACCATCTAATATCAAAAATATCATTGGGGCACGATGGTTTGTATCTTTTGTTGATGATTACACAAGAATTACTTGGATATTTTTCATGAAAGAAAAATCTGAAGTAGGGCCAATTTTCAAAAATTTCAATGCCATGATCCAAAATCAATTCAAAACATAAATCCAAGTTTTCAAAACAGATAATGCAAAATAGTATTTTAAATCTGTTTTGAGTGATTATTTGAATAGCCAGGGCATAATTCACCAGAGTTCTTGTGTTGATATCCATGAACAAAATGGGATTGCTGAAAGAAAGAATAGGCACCTCTTTGAAGTTGCTAGGTCGTTGATGTTCACTACTCATGTCCCAAAACACTTCTGGGGAGAAGCTGTCCTTACGGTAGCCTATCTTATCAATAGAATGCCATCTCGTGTCCTAAAATTCCAAACTCCAAGTCAAGTTCTTCTTAAAACATATCCAGAAAGTCGCATAATCTCCACCATTCCTCCAAAAATATTTGGATGTTCAGCCTTTGTTCATGTATATCCTCATAACAGGAGCAAACTTGATTCCAAAGCAATCAAATGCATTTTCCTTGGGTACTCACCAAGTCAAAAATGGTACAAATGTTACTCTCCTATCACAAGAAGATTCTATAACTCAATAGATGTTACTTTCTTTGAGGAACAACCCTATTACACCAAAACCAATGTTCAGGGGGTTGGAATATCATTGAAAACCAACAACAACCTTCTCCTGTCGAAAGTCCATCTTAAGTTCCTTCCATTGTCGATGAATCTCCAAATCTTGTCATCGAGTCTCCTGAATCTCATGTCAAAACTCTACCTCAAAATCGTCTTGACCCTTTTGCCAAAAAATATTGAGCTTCGTGTTTACTCTGAGGGAAATTGGCACCAAAAGGAGACGGCACAACGAGCACTTCCTGAGTAACTCCATGAGTCTGAACTAACTCCAAGTTCATCTGAAACATCACAAGATAACTCTCATTCAGACTCTTCTCCTCATGAGTCACCTGATAGTCGGCCTATTGCCTTAAGAAAAGGAGTGAGATCTTGCACAAATCATCCTATTTATACCTACTTATCTTACAGAAGATTATCTCCAGAATATAGTGTTTTTGTCTCCAGTCTTGTCAAGATACAGGTTCCCAACAACATTCATGAAGCCCTGGAGATACCACACTGGAAGGCTGCCATTATGGAAGAAGTTCGAGCCTTAGAGAAGAACAATACATGGGAGATAGTAGACTTACCACAAGGAAAACAACCAGTGGGCAACAAATGGATATTCACTGTAAAACATAAAGTTGATGGAAGTGTAGAAAGATTCAAAGCCCGACTAGTAGCAAATGGATTCACACAGTCCTATGATATTGATTATCAGGAGACGTTTGCCCCAGTTGCTAAACTCAACACTATGAGAGTGCTCCTATCCCTTGCAGCCAATTTAGATTGGCCATTATTTCAACTTGATGTCAAGAATGCCTTCTTTAATGGAGACCTTGAAGAAGAAGTGTACATGGAGATTCCTTCTGGGCTAGAAAATCAAGCTATAGATAATGAAGTCTGCAGGCTCAGGAAGTCATTATACGGGTTAAAACAATCTCCTCGCGCCTGGTTTGATCGTTTCTCTAGGGCAATGAAGAAATTTGGCTATTTGCAATGTCAATCAGATCATACCCTGTTTATCAAACGATCAACTCAAGGAAAATCATCCATTCTCATTGTCTATGTAGATAACATCGTTCTCACGGGAGATTTCTTTGAAGAAATGGATAGACTAAAGAACTTTCTTGCGAAAGAGTTTGAGATCAAAGACCTAGGGAAACTCAGATATTTTCTGGGGATGGAAGTATCTCGAACAAAAGATGGCATATCAGTCTCTCAGCGAAAGTACGTTCTGGATCTCCTAAAAGAGACAGGAATGCTCGGATGCAAGTCCGCAGATACGCCCATGGATTTGAATATAAAACTAGGAAATGGGAAGAACATGACACCAGTCGACAAAGGGAGATATCAACGACTCATCGGAAAGCTTAACTATCTCTCACACACTAGACCTGACATTGGTTTCTCAGTTAGCGTTGTGAGCCAATTCATGAACAATCCTATGGAAGAGCATATGGCAGCAGTCTATTGAATTCTTAGGTATCTCAAGATGACTCCAGGCAAAGGTCTGTACTTCAAGAAGAACGCAAAGAGGAGCTTAGAAATCTTCATTGACGCAGACTGGGCAGGCTCAATTACTGATCGAAGATCCACGTCAGGGTCTTGCAGCTTCGTATGGTGAAATTTGGTCACTTGGAGAAGTAAGAAACAAACTATGGTTTCAAGGAGCAGTGCAAAAGCTGAGTTCAGAGCTATGGCACATGGAATTTGCTAGGGAATGTGGCTTAAAAGATTACTGAAGGAACTCAGAATTCAAGATGAAGAACCATTACACATGTACTGTGACAATCAAGCTACAATAAGCATAGCTAAGAACCCTGTTCATCACGACAGGACTAAGCATGTTGAGATAGATCGCTATTTCATCAAAGAAAAGATAGAAGATGGGATAATTCTGCTGCAATACACGCCAACAAAATACCAAATAGCTGACATTCTGACTAAAGCCTTGCCTAAGTCCAACTTTGAGGATTTAAACACCAAGCTGGGTATGATTAACATCTACTGCACAGATTGAGGGGGAGTGTTGAAAATCCACTAGTAATATAGCTGTTGTACAGCTACCGTTTTCCTAGATTCAATCTTTTTGTATTTTGTTTTTTCCTTAATTAGTTGATTGAGTAAAAATAGGAATTATGTATCTTGATTTTCTCTGCTAATTACAGCCTAAGAATTAGCTGAATTGCTAGAAATAAGGGCAAAATCACTCAGCTCTCTTATATATAATGACCTCTTTGTATCGGAATAAATGTGTGTCAGATTCAATTCTTCAATTTTCAATAAGAGACAAGGCTTTGTTGAGTTTTGCAAGCTGCTATCTCATGTTATGTGGCTTGTTGAACTGCTTGATGTAAAATTCAAGCTGTTAGAAAGGGTCATGCCCATATGTACGTCATTTTAATCTTATTTTCAACATGTTCCTTCAAGTTGGGATTACGATGAAAGCTTGACATGTTTCATTAAATGGGCGGTGTTGTGAATTGAGCCCATGACCTTTTCATGCTTTGGTACCACATTGAAATATTTGACCTAAAAGCTCATCCTGTTGAGAGGCCACGTATATATCATTTTAATCTTATCTTTTTGGATGATCTTTTTCTTCAAATTGTGGACTTGTTAGAAAAAGTTGGCTGCATAAATAACCACTTTCTTTTCACAATTTATCCATATTGCACTATTTATTTTTATTTTTTATAATTTGGTTTCTTTGTGTTCTCATAATCACTTGATTGTCATACTTAAGAGCTAATTTTTAGAGAAGTATGTAAAATAGCATTCACAAAGACATTCGTGAAACCCATTTGAGCCACAAAAAGTAGTGGACGCCGCTGCTTATAAGCTAGTCTAAGTGTACCCAAACATGCCCTAAATAATTAGTTAATCTCAATTTGTTCTTCGGCCAAATATTTTAAACTTGAATTGTCAGTTGTTAAACGTGCATTGTCGGTTGTCAGTGGTTTTTTTTGGATAGGGTTAAAAGGGAAAATTTGTTGAAATTTTGACCATTGTAATATGTACAAACATGCCCATAAAATTTTTTTCTCATAATTTATGTCATAAGAATAAAAATAAAAATTGCAAAATGGTTGTTTTGAAGTCAGTTGATTGCCATGCACAAAAACTTTACCCTTTTTTGGAAATTTGCACATTATCCTTCTTCTCCTAACTTGAGAACAAGATGATATCTTTTTCCAGTGGAATGTACAATTTTTCCTTAGAATTTCATGGTGCTCTCTCTTACATTATTGCTACAATGGTCAATTTGCTTTAAGAATGCTGGAGTCAAAATCCAGCTAGATTATGCTGTCAACAAATGCAAGCCAAGTCATTATTCACTTGTATCTATTTGCACACTAAGAACATACGTTAGAATGCTCGGCTGTTGCAATGAGGGGTGATGCGGCTATCGTATGTAGAGTGTGATGCCCAAGTCAAATTTGGTATTAGTGAAATAACAAATGGATAGAGTTTTAACTTGGATGAAAAAATTCACATATCTTAGATTTGGATTCTCGAGGAGTTGTTATTGGCGAACCAAAAGTTCAAAAAACTAGCTAAATTTCCCTCCTTCACTGGTCTTTGGATGAGCTGATGATTTTCATATTCATTTCACCTTTCATGATCCTAATCGATGATGCAGGTCTCGACGCATCTATCAATGAGATTGACAATGATTACAAAGATCGTCGAAGATTATGGCAAGGCATCTATATTACAATCCTCCTTTAGTTTATAAAATTGTATTTACCATAAATAGATTGATTGTCTTTACCAAATTTAGATTGTATTATGTAATATTCTTTCCTATACAATGAAGAAATCCCTTAAGGGAAGATTATTCAGCCAAAAAGATTGTCATGATATCAGAGCTTACCTCTGAAATAGCTGAGTCTTAGGTTACCTTTGTTGTCTTTGGCTCCGTCGCTAACCTTCAATATTCAAATTTTTTTGGAATGTTCTTATTATTTTTGGTACTCTTCTTTGGGATTCTAGGTTGACCCTTCTTTGGTCAACATCATCTATGTTAGGCATGACGATTGGTGGTCGTGTGGTTGCAGCGTGATCTTTTTGGCTTACCTATTGGAATCAACGGTGTTTGTGGCAAGTATCGATTCGTTGTGGACAATGGCTGCTTTTGGTAGGTGGTCGGATTTTTGAGAAGAGTCGGATGTCTCTATAGGTTACACATCCGACATCTGAATAGCCGGTGTCTCTATGGGTTAGGCATTGCTACGCGTTTGTTGAGTCTGGGCCTTGTGTGGATCTATTAATTGAGTGGGCCTTGTCTGAATAGCTGCTGTCTTTGAGGCCTGCTTAGTTGGGTGGATCTATTATTTGGGCCTCTTTATTTGATTGGGCATTATTTTCTTGTAGACCATTAATTCTGCGGGTCTTGTAACTTTCTGAGCTGGTTTTTTTTTAGTGTGTGTGCTGTTGTGATAAGTGATTCTTTTCTTTTTGGGCTGTCCATTGCCATTAGGATTTTAGCTTGTGATTTGGTGATTACTTTGCTGTAAGAAGCTAGGTCAGTTGAAGCCTTTTGTATTAAGTTCGCGGGAAAGAGTTACTCCATATGGGCGTGGTTTGCAATTTGCCTTAAAAATATATTTCACGCCCTTTATTTTTTCTCTTTTTAATGGATAATTGAATTATAAACATGCTATAACAAGAAGAAAAGGCGGTGATGATGATATGCTGATAGGGGTGGGAACTAAAATTGGAGGCACACAGTTGCAGTGAAAAGATGAGCAAAGCAGATAGAAAGTGGTGACTGACTAGGTGTAATGTTGGCAATGGCTGATGAGTAAGGTTCAACTACAAAGTGATGACTAAGAATCAACTTTTAATTTATTAATTATTATTTTTTTGGAAATAAGAAAATGTTTAAACATAGATTAACTTCTCTGTTTCTGTTTTATATTTGAGTGAATATATATATATATATATATATATATATTAATTGCTACTCCTTTCTACTTCTCAATTCAAAGAAAGAGAGACAAACTTCAAATTCTCAATCTGCTATAGGGTCCTTTAGTGTTACTCATGTACGGTAACTCAGCCAACTCTGATGCAGACCATCATGCAGATAAGACTGATTTATCATCTCCATCTCCTATGATGACGACAAGCTTTCGCAAAGATGCCACAAATAATACCGGTATCAAGTGCAGTGCCGATGAAGCGCCCAATAAAGGACTTCATATATCAGAGCTAGCACTACTGGATATGTATGCTGGCTGTGGAGGAATGTCAACGGGGTTATGCTTTGGTGCCAAAGCATCTGGCATAAATCTTGTGACGGTAACATTAATCAATTCTCTTTATTCACTTCTTAATGTGTTGTGCTACAGCTTGCATGCTAATGTTTGTCAACTGACTTTGACTTTGAAGAGATGGGCTGTTGACATGGATGAAGCTGCATGTGAAAGCTTGAGGTTCAACCATTCAGATACACAAGTGGGTTTTAGTTTTCTTTCATTTTGACTCTCCAAATTTCTTCAAAATAACTTTTAGTTTTTAAGTCTTTGTTGCTTGTACACAGATTAGAAATGAATCTGCGGAGGACTTTCTTGATTTGTTGAAGGAATGGGACCGTCTCTATAAAAAATATGTGAACTGTGAAGTAAGAGAACTGAAGTCAAGAGTTAGAGAAGTTGATGAAGACATAAACCTAAAAGCTGATGGTAAAAGAAACCGTGAATATGAAGTTGATAAGCTAGTAGCCATATGTTATGGCGATCCCACAGAAACAGGAAAGCGCGGGCTTAAGTTCAAGGTAATTATTTAATTTTATGATCTTGAGTTATTTAATATTCAAGTTAAGAACCTCTGATAGCTTATAAACTACCTTCTTTTTTCTAACATTCGCTGATTATAATATTTACTTGTAATTCTTTTCCAGCGTAAATTATTAGAGACATGCTGAAAGCTCGAGAATATGGAAATATTCTCCCTACCTTAAGTATCTTTGTATATTTTAGTAACTAGTAATTATTATAATTAAGATTGATTGTAGGTGATTCCTTAAATAGTTTTAGATATATTATTTTCGCTTTTTAATATCATTTGTATACTATTAAAGGAGGTATTAGTGTGTAATATTGATCAATGAAATAACAGAGGTTTTAATGTTTATGCAATATTCCTACGGTTTCACTGTTCACATGGTATCAAAGCAGGAGCAATAACCTAGCATAATGACAAACCATGGACAGTAGCAAGGGGTCAATGACCACCGAATCACACGATGGTGAAACAGAAGCCGCCCCAATAGTAGGTTTCGAAGGAATTGACAATTCGTTGTCCCAACTCACGTTGGGAAAATTAAACGGGTAAAACTTTAGAGAATTGGCCCAATCCGTCAAACTAGTGATTGATGGGAAAGGAAAATTAGGATACCTGATTGGAGATACGAAGAAGCTTGCCTCAATTGAATCTGTCGGCTTGCAAAGATGGAAATCAGAAAACTCATTGTTGATTGCGTGGCTCATGAACTCCATGATTCCTTTCATCAGAAATGTCAAATATACTCAATAAAACTCGATGGGAGAGATTCTCTCATTATAAGTAACCAAATCAAAACTAAATATAGTAACTAACATTACAATATTTACTAATGATAATCTACTAAATATAAAGATTGATGCTTTATATTCTTTCCTTACATTCCACTGACACCCTCTCAAGTTCATGCTGGTAAAAGCATCAATTTGCAATCTTGAATTGACGACGGTGATAGTACTTGTGCCCATGAAAAAGAAATCCAAAGCCGAGCAACCATCTACGAAAATTAGTGATGACGAGAGACCAAGAACAATAAATAGTGTAGAAACAACCAAAAACAACTCCAAAGTCACTTAAAAACACTCCAGAAAGCTCACTCCCCAAGAAGAATTTTCAAAAGAAATTCACGAAGTGTGCCAACACACATAGTAAGTTCTATCTGTTAGGAGAACTTAGCCGAACACATAATTCATGTTCCGACAAAAGCTCCAATGCCAATACAACTGCCAAAATTCCAACAATATATCGCTGACCAAGATGCTGTAGTCGGAAGAAATCCCACAAAATAGCGTACACAAAAAAATATGATCCTCTTCTAAGAATCCAAAAACCACCTAAGTATGATCCTCCTCCGAGAATCCAAAACTCTAGCTCAACACTCGAGTAACTGAAACACAAAG